TTTTTAAGTTGCATCAAGTCCTTCTCTGTTAAAGAAAAGCAACAACAATTTTTAAAAGATGCTGCAATAAACAGCCAGTATACCTATCTTTGTGGTTATGTGTAAGTTGATTGGTAGGATATAGTCCCAGAAGTAGAATTGATGTTCAGAAGACATAAAAATTTTGTATCTTATGTAGTCTTCTCTACTAAAAATATTTATTCTGTGTTTTCTTCTAGTTCTATGATTTCATTTTTTTTTACCTTTATTTCTTGGATTTATTTGAAGTTTATTTTGGCATCATTAGTAGTAAAAGGTTGAACCTTAATAATTTTTACTAATGCCATTTATTGACAAATCAATTTTTCAACGTTGATTTGAAATGCTGTTTTTATTGCATAAAAAATCCTCATATATACTGGTCATCTTCTGGACTATCAATTCTATTTCATTGATCTAGTTTTCTAATTTCAAATTATTTAATATCCCCATAGCAGCATGCTAAAATGCAAAGGCCCTAGAATGAAGATTCCTGAAGTCAAATCCTAACTCTACCATTTATCAAATATGTGACTTTAGCCTAGCCCCTAAAGTGTATTTGTTCTTCACCTTCCTCATCTCTAAAAAGATAAAATGTCAAACTAATATTGCCTAATGACTTCTTCCCTAAGCCAAAATCTTGAGATGGACGTAAGAGGGAAAGGAGTTGAAGGAACTCCTCTTAAGAAACCATACTCAGAAAGTCACGCATACACACACAAACCCATGAGGATTCATGGGGAAGCAGAAGAGTGCTGGGGACTTATATAGGTAGAAAGTGGTGAATTGGAAAGGGAAGGCATCAAGGGGAACTTTTAGGAAATAACTTGAGAAAAGGAGATTCTAGTTTTACCCTGTTTTATTGCCCACATTGTTCTGGGAGAGTTGAGCTGAGAGGTGAGATTAGGGAAACTGAAATTGGTTTGGAACTGAGTGATGTGTTCCTAATACACTGTAAAATTTGGCTGAAACTTGCCTTTTGGGTGAATATCAGAGGATACTCAGAGCCCCACAAAAGAGGGGTCTCAAAACCCAAAACAAATAATAATGCAACTGAAGGAATATACACTAATGATGAAGCTAGGACTCCCAGGTTTGCCCTTTCCCTACTGCTCTCCCAAGGAGGAAGGTAGTAGTACCAGCTCGAGCCTTAGGATAACATCACACATCACAGTGTTGAAGGCTATCGTGGACGATAGCCTCCACTAAGACAGGTGAAATATCGAAGTTAGCTGGCAAGTGGCTGAGTTGGTATTTGAACATGCTCTCTGATTATAAAACCTGTGTTCTTCCTACGAAGTAATTTTTCTCCATTGGTGGAATTCTTCAATAATGACAACAATGACAACTTTCCTCTTGTCATTCAATATGTGACACTGTTGGATCCTAAATTTATTTTAGTATAATGATTATAATAATAACAATAAAAAACTAGACAGAATTGCTTGAACCTGGGAGGTGGAGGTTGCAGTGAGCCAAGATTGCGCCATTGCACTCCAGCCTGGGCAACAATAGCAAAACTCTGTCTCAAAATAAATAAATAAATAAATATTTTTTCAAAGTTACAGAATGTTAATAGGGGGATATGTAGTTGCTTGACATTTTCTTGTCTTGGTTTTTATTCCTCAAATCTGACACAAGAGACTTCTAACTGGCTTCAAGGATCTCCTTAGCCTGACTGATCCTAACTCATCATAAGAGATGTCCCCAAAAACAATTATGACTGTGTCATTCTTTTAATTCAATTCAGAACCCCCAGTGGTTACCCACTGACTACAGGCCAAATTCCTCATTATGAATGCTATTTCGTGCTCATTATCCAGGAAGGGGTCATAAGATATTAGAGGGATTCTTGAGGCATTGTTCCTTTTAGTGTAAGGTTAAGGGATTAAATGAACATCAGATAATCGCTGAGGTCCAACTCAAACTAAAGTTTTCAAGTCCCTATGCCAATAGGCTTCAAATTATCTCCTAAGCCTCATCTTCTCTAACTCCTTGATATAGATCTATCTTTATTTTTTAGGGACTTATAACTTTTGCCATTAGAAATGTATTTTCATATACGTTCAGAATGCATAAAGCTTGATATTTAAGAACTCAATATCAATGAAGCCTTTCCTTCTGCTTCAATGATTTTATTAATTCAGGTCTTCATGTTCCATAAATTGTCATTGATTTAGTAATTTGATGAAAACATTTATATACAAATATTCCACTAAAATGTAAAGCCTGTAGATACCAAGAAATTTATTCAGCCATAGATAGAGTCTTAGAATAAAACACTCTGAATACACACAAATGAATAAGATATAAGAATATAATTGAAAAGCACTTATACTGGAGGAATTTGATTATGTATGTCCCTAGAGATAAAATTTTGTTAGAATCACCTTCTCTCCATCCTGTTTTATTCAAAGACCTTTCATATAGTACATTGCTTTTATGTTTAGAGTTTATGCCTAAATTTAACTCCATTATTCTCTTAGTTACTTTACTATTTATTTGTTTAAAAAAAGATTTGAAATGCTGGAATACAGTTAACCATTGCAAAGCTTCACAAAGTTCTAAATGCTCCTGGACTCTTTAATAACTGAGTTATCCTAGATAGTTGCTTTCTATGTAACTATTCTTTTTAAGAACAGCATTTTAAAATCATTTTTGTCATTCCAAAAGAAATTTTTCCACAACGAGGGCATCCTCATCAGAGGATAATGAACATAGTATTTTAATTATGATTAAGATCATCACTAATCTTTTCCCTTTCTTCAGTACCATTTATTGAGCAGATATTGGGTGAAGTTGACTACACAGAGTCTGTATAGGACAGGAGTGCTTTCATTTTCATTCATTCCAAAATAATTTGAAACTTCAATTTTGTTATTTTCTTATCCAATGAATTATTTAGAAGTGACTTAAAATATCTAGCTGTCTGGGTTCAATTTTTTAAAAATTTCTAATTTTAACATACTGTGGTTAGATAAGTGGTTTGTATATATATATTTAAAATTTTGATGTAATTTCCTTTGTGGCTTCTATAAGGGCATTTTTTTTGTAAATGTTATCTAAGTAAATAAACTGTGTATTCTCAGTTAGGTGTAAGTTCTATGTATATCTATTAGCATAAACTTATTAATTTTATATTTAAATACTCTATATTTTTATTCATAGTATATCATAGTAGGAGACTGTAACAGACCACTATGATGTGATGTGTATTTGTTTTCTTTTGTGATTTTACCAAATTTTTAGGTATTTCAAAATGATATTGAGGCATTTTAGGTTCATGATCATTATATCTTGCTGGTAAATTATTTGACAATGTGAAATGCCCTCTTTTGATACTTTTAATGCTTTGGCTTTCAATTCTATTTTGTCTGATACTGATGTTGCTGTTCTCATCCTACTGTTAATACCTGCCAGGTATAGCATTTTTCTATTCGCATCTACTGAAATTTTATTTTAATAATTACATTTTTTTAAATTTCCAGGGTTTGACTTTGGTTTGTTTTATCACAGATAGCTCCTCATTCGTTATTTTGATGCCATACTATATTTGAAGACACTAATTAAACTTCTTAAGAAAAGTCCTTTTCTTACCATCTATTAAATTTTTCATAGTTGTAATTCTGTTGGGCTGTTACATGTATTTTTATGGAGGCTACATGCTAAATGTTGTTGATTCTCAACTGTGGGCTCATCTTGGTGGTTTGAATTCCCTCCTAGACTCCTTATACTTACACTCCCACAGCCAGCCTTAGGGAAGGTAGAGAAACAGCTTTTGAGGTTTGTGCTCCTCCCTGTTTTCAGTGAGAATGAGGGAAAGTTAGGATGGGTATTGCTGGCCCTGCCCCTCATTCTTAGGCTGGCTTCTGTGCAAAGACAGACGTGAACTGGTAGAGAGGTAAAGAGTGGAATGTACATGGCATGACCAGTGTGGATACCCCAACTCATTTTCTTATCATCTGCATTAGCTTCCACCTCCTGTCTAGTCCTATCTTCTACCACCTCTAAGCATGGGTACCCTTGGTGATGCTCCCGTCTTCTGTGGTGGGACTTTCTAGAAGTTTCCAGTACAAACTCCAGGCTACAATTACTCTCTGCAAACTCAGCTTGTGTACTTTCAGACTTTCAGGGATTTCTCATCATTTTGATTAGGCAAAACTCTCTCTTTGAATTTAGAAAACAAGCTATATATTCATACACTTAAAAAATAACTTAAGGCTTAGAGTGGAAGGACAGAAGCTGAGAAAGGAGAGGATATCATTGTGCAATTAGTGTTCCATCTTGAAAGGGAAAGCCTCCACTTTTATTTTGTGTTGTTTCCTTTTTTATTGATATTAGGGATACTAAGCAATTGTTACCTACTTTGTAAATATTTGTTACATGTGCCTTTTAATTTCATTTCAGGTATGTTCAGAGATACAAATGTTTTACATTTTAATGAGGACAAATCTGTTCAGTTTTTACTTTAAGATTTCTGGTTGTTGTGTCATGCTCATGGGGCCTTTTTACTCCACAATTTAAAAAGTTTCCTGTATTACCATCTGAAATTTCATGGTTCACTCGTTCATATTTAGATATTTCATGTTCAGATATAGATCTATGAGGACTTTAGTTTTTGGTTTAAGGTGAGATTTCGTATGTTTTCCATTCTCCCTTTTCCAAATAGGAGTTTTTAATTGCAGTTGTTCTACTGCTCCACTAATTTGTTTTGGGTGGGTAGATGTAGAAGAGCATTTAACATGTTTACTTGATAGTTCATCAAATCATAACGAACCACATCCGTATTTGATGTACTGGAATGTGCAGCACTGAGTTCTTGACTTTTGAGATGAGTTCAGTAACTGCCTGGGGTTTGGGATCATCTCCCTTTGGGGGAAGATGAGTGTGAAGAAGGGTATGTGAAGGTATATAGTAGCCAGAGAAGCTGACTGCGGCAGAGAGCACAAAGTGTCCACCAAAACAATCTTCCAGTTCTCCCTTTGGGCACACAGCTAGAGTCCATCTCCCTGCCTCCTTCAGTTAGGTAGAGCCAGGAGACTAAGTTCTTTTTGGGGCAGTGTCAACAGCCATGCTTGCCATGCCCATAGAAGCCTTCATTTGTACTTTATCCTTTTTGAAGGCTGGATGTAGATGAAAAGTTTCTAAGAGATGGGGCCAGGAGATGCCAGGGTTCTGAAGGACTGGAAAGACTGCATGGGGGACTTGAAAGCTGCCTGCTGAATGTTTTGCCTTGAACTGACACTCAAGTGAGAAATAAGCCTCTCAAGGTAAGACAGGAGCAAAGTATCAGTTTCCTTTAGATAATCTGGGAGATACGCCTTTTTTTTTTTTTTTTGAGACAGAGTCTCCTTCTGTCGCCCAGGCTGGAGTGCAGTAGTGCGATCTGGGCTCACTGCAAGCTCCGCCTCTCGGGTTCACGCCATTCTCCTGCCTCAGCCTCCCGAGTAGCTGGGCCTATAGGCACCCGCCACCACGCCTGGCTAATTTTTTGTATTTTTAATACAGACGGGGTTTCACCGTGGTAGCCAGGATAGTCTTGATCTCCTGACCTCGTGATCCGCCTGCCTCGGCCTCCCAAAGTGCTGGGATTACAAGCGTGAGCCACCGCGCCCGCCCCGAGATATGCTTTTTGAGTTAAGAAGATTCCTTTTATTTCTAACTTACCCAGTGGCTTTGTTGTTGTTTTAATCAGAAATGAGTGTTAAATTTTATTAAAGATTTTCACACCTATTAACTGTATTGTATAGATGTTCCCCTTAAATCTTTATATGTAATAAATTCCAATTATTACATTAATAGAATCCTTAAAGTAGAACTATATGTAAGATGGTATTCTTTTAATGCAATGCTGGACTTCACTTTGTTTATAACTTTTGTGTATGTTCAAGTGTTTCATTGGTTTATAGTTTTCTTTTTTAATCCTATCTTTGTCCAATTTTGTCACTGAGTTTATGCTAGATGCAAACTGAGAAGTTTATCAGCTTTTTCTTTGGTCTTTAACAATTTATATATCATGAGTTATTAGGGCCTCATGCCCTTTGAAGAACATATGTATATATATGTATTTACTATCATTCTAATTTCCTCTAGTGTTATTGATCTATTCATTCTTTTCATTAAGATTGTAATATTTGTGTTATATGCTCTCTTTTGATTTAATCTTTGTTCAATTTTATTAGATTGTCATTGGTTATATCAGTTTTTAAATTCCTGCCATGTACCTGCTCTTATTGATTACAGTTTCTAAGGGCGTATGTGTTGTCAAAGTATGTGAATTCTAATTTCACAATTTTATCATTTTCTAACTTACTTATTTTTGCTTTTATTTTTATTAATTCCTTTCTTTTGCTTTTCTTGATTTTATTTTGTTGTTCCCTTTCTAATTCTTTGAGGGCTGTTCATTTTTTGTTTAATTAGAAGGCATTTGGGGCTATAAAGTTTTCTATATTCCACAAGTGTTGATTAATAATATCTTGTTCTAATGTTTTCTAAGTAGTCCATTAATTCATAAAATTCTTCATCAAATGGCTTCTATCATAAGAAACCAAAATAGCATGCCTTATGTCAGTCTCTTACAAGCAGAATATCTTTCCATTTCTCCATGGGTTTTGGAAGTATTCCAGGCTACATTTTACTTTCAATAACTCGTATCAGGTGAAAGAGTAAGGAACCGAGCCAACGCCACATTCCTCTGGAGTATGTTTGGTACTCTTCAGGTACAATCTTATACAGGAAAATCTTTTTTGGAATTACAGTCTTACTGTAAACAAAAAGGAACCCAAATCTTTACAGGTGATCTGTTTCTTTTTCATTACTAATTGGGAAAACGTACATACTTAACTATGTGTTTATCAATATTAAAACTTTTGAATTCTAAAATTACCAAAAATATGAGAGCTTTAAGTAATAAAAATTGGTACATTTCATCTTTAAATATTTAGTGGCCATATGTATGAAATAAAGTATAATATTAATTTGACATGGCAATTTCTATTTCATTTTCTTTATTTATGGAATTAGTGCTGTATAGAAACTTATCATGACCATAAAAAGCCTTTCTATTATCTGCCATAGGGATTTAAAGATACCTTTTCTTTTGTCTTCTCTAATCATCTCATTTATTAAAACTAAAGTTTCATGTTTTTAGTAGAGTCCTTGAAGGAGAACTCTATTTAAATAAGACTATGAAATGGTATCCTTTTAATGCAATGCTGGACTTTGCTTATAATTTTTGTACGTATATTAAAATGTTTTATTGGTTTATAGTTTTCCTTTTCAGCTTAATTTTGTCCAGTTTTTGCATTGTGTTTATGCTAGATGCAAACTGGGAAGTTTTCAGCTTTTTCTTTGGTCTTTAATAATTTATATACCATGACTTATTAGGGCCTGGTGCCTTTTTGAGGGATGTATTTTTACTATGGTCCTAATTTCCTCTAATGAATTCATTTCTTAGGAGCCTATTAAATTTTCTCTCTGCTCTACATCATTGCACCAGCAACAATAATTATTAGCTGTGTGAACTTTGGCAAATATCCTAACCTCTCTGTGCTTCAATGTCTTCAAATGTAAAGTGGGGATAACCACAGTTTCTATCTCACAGGAATTTTCCAAAGTTAAGAATCTATAACATAAAGTATTTACAATAGTCCTGGGGATAATGTTAGTGCTATATATGTTAGCACTATTATAATATTTTTATTATAATATAGAAGTAATCACAGCTGCCTCCATTGAAAACCTTATCGCTATTTTTTCTCATTATTAAAGTGTCCTTTATGTGTGAAGGACGTTATATAAATTGTCATCATCTTGTCCCAAACCCAGTGATGTGGGTGTTATTACTCTTCATATGAGAAGCTAAGAGAAGTGAAACAATTGTCAAATTCACAAGGTAGCAAGTGATATCAGCGGCATTTGAATCCACATCTGTCTGTCACTAAAGTCCATGCTCTTCCCATTATATTAGCCAGCCTGATGTCACCCTGTCTAAAAAAATCTACTTTCATAACCTCTTTCTGCCATCACCAAAGCAGAGCTGCATCTTTTTTGGCACACTGAAAAGATTGTGCTCCTCTGGATTGAACTGCAGGTCTTTAGTGACATTAATGATTTACTATTGCTTATCTCAGCTTACCCCAGATAATTTGTCAATCAATACCTGGCCTTTGGATTTTCTCTATGCCATTTCTCCCAGGTCCCAATTTTAAACATGTATTTAAGATTGTCTAGCTAGAGTTTCTCTAGCTCTCTGGGCAGTGTCTTGGCATGAAGGTGTTATGCAATATAAAATGCTAATGAATTAATGTTTCATAGGATCCCTGGAGTTCAAGTTGGTACTGGAGGAAAGTGGCTATTTTCTAGGGTGAAGCCCAAAGTACTAGTTGCTAGAAAAATGCTTCTGAGGCCTGAAGATAATCAAGGATTTTGTTGTTGTTGTTGTTTTATGTTTTGTGCCCATCAAAGACCTATGTATAACCCAGGTCTGCATGTCCATGAAGCAGCCCTTCTTTTTTCACTCTAATCCAGCATGCTCACTACCTCTCCTTTCCCCTCTTACAGCAGCTTTGAATCACAAAGTAGTTGTCTATCAGTCTTGATTATGTATTTATCCAGTATCCCTAATAAAATGGTAACTCCTGTATCTTTTCTTTTGTATCTGTATCCCCCAGTCCTCTGCCAAGTAAGGACCATGTAGTGACCATTGCTTCTTTTTAAAATTGTGGCAAAATATACATAACATGAAATTTATCCTTTTAACTATTGTAAAATATCTAGTTAAGTGGCATTAAGTACATTTAAATTATTGTGCAGCCACCACCATCTCTAGAACTTTTCATCCAAACTGAAACTCTCTACTCATTAAACAAGCTCTCCCCATCCCCTGGCAAAACCACCATTCTACTTTCTGTCTCTTTGAGTTCAACTACTCTAGGTACCTTATATAGGTGGAATCACAACATCTTTGTCCGTTTGTGTCTGACTTATTTCACTTAGCATAATGTCCTCAAGGTTCATCCACATTTTAACATATGTCAGAACTTCATTCTTTTTATAGGCTGAAGAATATCCTATTTTGTGTGTGTGTGTGTGTTTATGTGTATATGACTTTTTGCTTATCTGTTTAGTCATTAATGGAGATTTTGATCGTTTCCACCTGTTGGCTATTGTGAATAATGTTGCTATGAGTACTGGTATGCAAATATCTGTTTGAGTCACCTCTTATTGGATGTATATCCAGGAGCGGAATCACTGGCAATGTTTACTTTTTTTGAGGAACTGCAGTATTAATTTCATAGCTGCTGTCCCATTTTACATCCCCACTAGCAATGCCCAAGAGTTCCAGATTCTCCATACTTTCCCAACACTTGTTATTTCACCATGATTCTTCTGACTTAATCTTCATGACAAATTGATAATTATTACTATACCTAGTATTGATATTGTGCTTCACAGTTGACCATTTTTTTGCATGCAATATGCTTTTGAATATTTATAATAATCTTTGGTTTGAGTATTACAGCTACATTACAAAAGAATACATTGAAGTTTAGAGATGCTACATCACTTGCCCAAGAGCACAGAGCTAGTAGGTGGAAAAGTCAAAACTATAACTTTACCAGATTACCTTTATTATTTGAGAATTAAACAGTTCACGTTATTTGAGATTCTCCCTTGAATGTTTCACTCACTCTGCATTATAGTAAGGGCAGTTCATGCATTGAGAAAGATTCCTGAAAAGGAGACCTGCTGCTCTCCCATGCCTCCCAAGGTATCAAGGAAAATAAATGGCTTCAATAAGTACCAGGAAGGGTTTAGGTTAGATATTAACTGGCTGGTAGGTGTTGGTCAGACATTGGAAAGGATTACCAGAGGACTTTTTGAAATAATGCAAGTCCTGAAGAATGCTATAGAGTTCATCCTAGTACATGTCTGAAGGCAAGGAAGTAATTCAGTGCACCCTTGTTAGTTATTTGAAAGTAGGGGATGAAATAACTGGATGTCTTCACATCGTTTCTTCAAGTTACCTGATTCTAAAACATAGATTCTACCAAACGGCTTTGTACTAGTGAGGTAAATTGTTCTTTGGGGTTAGGGGATGAAGCTTGTTTTCTCAACTCCTTCATCCTCGATCTCTGGAGAATGCAGCCCACAACCCTCAATTCCGTTTCATACCCTCAGAGTTCACGAGGTCTTCAGGGGAGGGGTCAGAGATGACCTAATTCACCTGGGGGTTCTGAGTTAACCTCACCAGTTAACTTTCTATATTATTGTTGAGTTGGTTTTCTTCTGCTCTTCTGGGAGATTTGAAGGATTTACACTTTCGACCTGAGATTAAACGGGATAATTTCTTTTCTTTTTTTCCATTTTTTTTGAGACAGAGTCTCACTTTGTTGCCCAGGCTGGAGTACCGTGGTATAATCTCGGCTCACTGCAACCTCTGCCTCCTGGGCTCAAGCGATTCTCCTGCCTCAGCCTCCTGAGTAGCTGGGATTACAGGCGCGTGCCACCACACCTGGCAAATTTTTGTATTTTCAGTAGAGACGGGGTTTCATCATGTTGGTCAGGCTGGTCTCGACCTCCTGACCTCGTGATCCGCCCCTCTCGGTCTCCCAAATTCCTTGTGCTGGGGTTACAAGCGTGAGCCACTGTGCTCAGCCTAAACAGGACAATTTCAATATCCAAATGTTACGTGTTGTGAGTGGTGGGTCATAAAGTGGGGACAAGGGAGTTGACTCAAGATAAAAAGGGTAGAAGGAAGATATCTGGTGAAGAAACAAAATTCTCTGGGTATTTATGTAGATGCTGCCACCAATGAGCTATGTGCCTTAGAGCAATCTGTAGGGAAATTAGATATCCGTGTGACTGTATTCATGCTGGGCAGTCCCTCCTCTCTCCTTCAGAACTCTATTTGTACACCATTTAGTGACCTTGAATGCAAGACCAATTCCGCTGTCTTGAGCTGTTCAATATCCGTGCATTTCACTTTCCTCACTATTCAAAAGAAGGAATTAGAGCTTTCCACCTCACAATTGTTAGAGATTAAAATAACAAACCTTTTTGAAAATTAGTGTGCATTCCAAGCGCTCTAAAGACCTTGTCAGGAGAATGCTGAAATTAAGAGAAAACTATTCTAGAACTCATTTAAGAAATTGCTAGCTGAGAAATGAAGGCAGTATGCTATGTAAACAAAAGTGGCAATCAGTTAATAAGTGATGTGCATCTGAAACTCAAAAAGACAAAAATAAGAAGCAAATTATTGAAAAAAAAAAAAGCAAAAGTATTGCCTCTCACCTACATCTGCTTTCTTTCGTTCTCCTTTCTTTGAAGCCCCCTTTGTCATAAGCCTTAGCCTCTTACACAGTAAATGATAAGTGAAGAACTGGATTTTGTGGGGCAATCACTGAAGCACAGAAGCGTCACTTCAGTAAATATGCTAGCTTTTTGAACAGACCAGAAGTGGTGACCTGGAGTAGTGATCACACTGTTCCTGCCTGATGCAGGACATTTAGTCTTTAGAATGATGGAGCACAGAATGCAGAGCTGGGGAGACTACTCAGAGATAATCCCATCCAACCCGTCATTGCACAGATGATGAAACTGAAGCCAGCAGAGTGCCAATTTTTTGCTTTTAAATTTCAGAATTGGAAATTGAAGAATGCCATGGAAAGCAAGGTGAAAAAGGCAGGGGTGTACACATCAATCCCAGATCCAGGGGGCCAGCATCTTTAAGTAGACTTCTTCAGATGGCCCATGGGGTCCCACAGAGCTTACAGGACAACTTAAGATCACTCCAAACCAGGTAACATTTCAATAAATACATGAATTTAAGGCCAACAGAACCTGGCTTAGCACCAAGCTGATCCTCATTCTTACCAGAACTCCTGTCTAACCTCAGGTAACTTCACAAGTTGTTAGAAACCATCCTTCAAAGATCTGCCTCTTTCCTTCTGCAGGGCAGCTGGAGGCTCCTAATCAGTGCAGGATCAACAACAGAAATCCACAAATGTCAATCATTTTTCTGTTTTCACTACCCAGTTGTTTTCTCTTGAGTTTAACTGCTTGAATTTTAGTGTCTGTGATAAGAACTCAGGGGTAATATCATACACCTCTGGAAGCCCTCTACTGATTGTGGGCTATGATCTGCAAGTGATGAAAGCAGGATTTGGCCAATTAGGAGGACAAGAATTTCTTGGCACTGCCAGAGCTTCACAGAAGATGTGTGCTGTGCACATTCCCATGGAGCTGGCTTGATTTCACAATCTTTTACAGCCTATTGTAATATACCACCCATCTCAAACAAGGTCCCCGTCCAAGTGTGCTTTAATGTTTTGTGAAATCAGCTGCGAATGTCAGGATTGACAAATAAAAAGTTGAGACCCACATTTTATTCTTTTTTATTCTGTAAGATTTACCACGTCAATTATATCTTTAATCACAAAAGAGCACGACAAACAAAATGTGCTGTGACGGGAATATGCAAATTTTCTTCTAGTACTTTTATATTAGTATTTTATATTTTATATTAAATGGACTACAATGAAAGTATATTTGTGAAACAAAAAATATGTATGTATATTAACGAATCTTGCCAAGTGTAGTGGGAATTTTGGGGGCTTTGTGATGTTGGATCTTCGTCACTCACTCAGCTCAACAATGAAATAAAGCACCAGGGTGTTTGTTGGTTACTTTGACGTTTTATGAGTCTGTGAAAAGTCTAAACTTATGATCATTAAAAGTGGACTTTCTCTTTGAGAAGCTAAAAGGGAAGGCAGGGTGCTCTTCTAGCACAGGCGGGGCGGTCTCAACACTCCTGGGCTTTCTGCTTCTTCAGTGTTTTCCTCAGCATGACTAACAAAAATGCTCTTTGTTCTTTGTTCCAGAGTCAAAGACATCCCTGCCACGCAGTACATAGATTTATAACTTTGGCCAAAGGTTTTGACAAACACAGATTTCTTCAATCCGAAGTCCATCTGTGTGTGTTCCCAGAAAAAAGAGCAGTGCATGTCTTTTTCCCTCTCTCTAATCCCTAGAGGTAGCAAGAGCAGGAGGACTGAGTTCCCAAAAGGACTTCTTATAGCTCTGGTGATAATTACTATCTCAAACAGGCTGGTGCTACTTTGGGGACACACATGGACTTTATTTATTGCTCTCTTTTTTCAAACCAAGATAGTGTCAGCGCTGACACACAGAGAAAAGAAACTGTGTCTGCTGTCATGTTTATTTAGTTGGTGTAAGTGGAAAGATCATAACCTGAAGTTTTGATGAAAACACACTTCTTGCTCAGATAATCCATTATGTCATTGATAAGTTCTGCTCAGAGAAAGGGAACGGATTAAAGAAACAAAAAAGACAACAAGATGGGGGATTAGGTCTGGGGATGTGGAGCATGTAGGGAACATCATAAACTTTCTGATTTCATATCTGGGACCTGGGTACATGATCTGAGACATAAATTTGAATGTTCAACAGCCAAATTATCCTGCCGCCTAGACATAACCTCCCATGATGCAAAGCAACAGGGAAGGTGCATGAATTCTTTCAGGCTCTATGAGTGTCCCTGAGCAATTTGTTTCTTTAGCATCCTACATAAATGTGGCTGGAATAACAAAAGCTCAGCAGGGTGCCTATGGGGAAGGGGTGCAGTTCCAATGCCTGAAGTCTCTGTGACAATGCCAAGGGAAAAACATTGGAATGGAAGCCAATATAATGATATTGAACCCACTCAAGTGAGCAGTTTTGTAGCAGGCATCCATTTTGGAGCTCAGCTGAAATACTAATGGAACTCAGTATTGTAGAACAGCCTGATTCACCACCAGGTCTGCAGCAGAGTCCAGGTATGGCATTACCCTTTGATTTACCTAATCTGGGAAGAAGCCAATTGGCCTGTGGAACACCTGAAAGTAAAACACTGCCCACCAGAGATGAGAAACTTTGCTTGCCTATAAACTCTGATAAGAGGCCCTTGATAACTGAAAATCGCAGGAATGCCAACAATAAGTCTCAGTTATTGAGAAATTCGCTGTCCAATGGGGAAGGCAGGTAAATAACAATCCTCAAAAATAATACATTAAGTGCTATACTAAGGGTACATCCAGGGTGCTGTCAGAATACAGAAGAGGCAGTACCTAATCCAGCCTGACACTGAGGGTCAGGGAAGGCTGCCACTATATCTAGATTTAAGAAATTCAGAGCACAGTTGATATAGCTTATCTTTAGGACGACACTTGGCCTTCCAAATAAATCAAACTTTTCCCAGAACCATTCCAAAGGACTTAGCTCTGTGTATCCATCAGCACCCCCAGCGAATGGAAGAAAGGTCAGAAATGAGTTAACACTGGCTTGTGCCACTGTTTTTAAATCTATTGTCACTGCTCTGTCCACTGAATTGGTATACCTTCCTACCCAATTTTCTTTAACAAGCCAGTTCTTTGTGTCTTTCAATGTCCTTCTCTTCATATAATTTCAAAACAGATCTCCATCTAACCACTTAAATTGTTTAGCTTCATGTGACATTATGTCTTCTGGAGGCTAACAGCATAATTGCTTAGATAATTTTTTGTTTATATTATGTAAGATTTTACTTCCCTTGACATTTGCTATTTTCCCTTCCCCACCTTCTGTGTACTTCAAGGAATTCTGAACTGTCAGTGCTCACACAGCATGAGCCTGGCACTTATTTTCAGTATGATTTGTCACTTCATAACAAACAACCTAGAAACATATTCATTTCCTGTGAAATTATCTGAGTTGAGTGAGTTTAAAGTTGGAGAATGGGCTCTACCTGGGGCTACAGAGAGAGCTCAAGCCCCTAAAAGTGAATGTCATCCTTTCATGCCCTGATGAAGCTGTTTATTTTCCATGACGTAGCACTTTCCATCCAGGACAAGGTCTGACCAGCCTGGCTCACGACAAAATTAGACTGGATATTGGCATCCTCTTATCTTTTTGTCTTTTCTCGTTGGTAATGTTCCTGTGTCCATTATTCCTCTGGTCTGGAGAGGCTGAAAGAACTCAGGAATTGCAAGGATGGGCCTTTCAGTTGCAGGCTGTGGACCTATAGTAGGACCTTTAGAGTGGGATGACTTGTTGAGGAAGGGCCTTGCTCAAGGATTGTCGGCCCAAGCTTGGACATAATGCAGGGTCACTTCAATTCTCCTGGAGATGAGAAGAGTGGTAGCCAGTGGAGAGACTATTTTTGGAATAGCATTTCCAAAGGCCACTTCCACTTCAAAAATAAATATTATGCACCAATTGGTATGATCATGCAGATTTTCACATTGGATTTGCTAATGTGATAGATTATACTGACAGATTTTTAAACTGCTTTCTTGAGATATAATCCATGTACCCTATAACTCACACAATTAAAGGATACAATTCAGTGGTTCTCAGTACAATCACAGAGTTGTGTGACTGTCACCACAATTTAATTTTATAACATTTTCATCACCTTCAAAAGAAATGCCATACTCAATAGCCGTTACCACCAAATCTCCCCATTTACCCAAGCCCTAGGCAATTAATAATCTACTTTATGTCTCTGTAGATTTTTCCTCATTCTGGACATTTCACATAAATGGAATTATGTAATATGTAGTGGCTTGTTACTGGCTTCTTTCATTTAGCATACTGTTTTTAAGGTTTGTCCGTGTTGTAACACATAACAGAGGTAGTTCATTGTTTTTTATTGCCAAAAAATTTCCATTGTATAGATATACCACATTTTGTTTATCCATTCAGTTGATGGGCATCTGGGTTATTTCCTCTTTTTGGCTATTATGGATAATGCTGCTATGAACATTCATGTAGAAGTGTTTTTGTGAATATATATTTTCATGTGTCTTGAATATATACCTAGGAGTGAAATTGCGGGTCATATGGTCATTGTATATTTAACTAGTTAAGAATTGAGAGAAAACAGGCAACAGTGAGAACTTTTCAGAAGAAAATGTTAAGGACAGTAAAAGCAGATCATGGTTGAGACTGAAAGGGGCTATCCCTAGCCAGACTGCATGGATATCAATGGTGGTAACAAACAGTATATCCTGGGTAGCCCTTAGAAAACAAAACTTCTAGTAAACTTTCTTTTAGTTATAATGTCCTAAGATATTTTTCTTATTCATACAGGCGGGTAGGTAGATTTTCTATTCTTGTGAATTATACATACATGCCAGGTCTCAGAAGCACTTAGGAGGAAATTGTATTGATTTCATTGCCTACAGTCAGATCTGAATCTTGTAAAGCTGTGCTGTTCAACATTATGGCCACAAATCATGTCCTGCTTTTAAAATTAAAATAAAATAGAATTTAAAATTCAGTTCCAAATCACACTAGTCATACTTCTTTTTTTTCATTACTGTTTTTCTTTTCTTTTTTTTTTGTTTTTTTTGTTTTGTTTTTTGAGAGAGGGTCTCACTCTGTCATTCAGGCTGGAATGCAGTGGTGTGACCATGGCTCACTGCAGCCTTGACCTCCAAGGCTCAAGCAATCGTCTGGCCTCAGCCTCCCTAGTAGCTGGGACTAACTACAGGCACACACCACCATGCCCAGAAAATTGAAAAAAAAATTTTTTTTGTAACATGGCTTCTGTTTTTTCCCAGGCTAAACTTGAACTCCTGGATTTAAACGATTCTTCTGTCTTGGCCTCCCAAAGTGTTGGGATTACATGTGTGAGCCACCATGCCCAGCATTAGCCACATTTCAAGGGCTCAATCACCATATTTAGTTTATGGCTTTGGTATTAGACAGTACAGACAGAGACTACTCACCTTATTGCAGCAAATTCTGTCAGTGTTGTTC